GCCGCGTTCGTCATACCGGTTGTTGGTGCTTTATAGTCCGTTATTGTCCTTAGTCCCCGCCAAATGTTGGCTACTGAAGGCTCCATTGGTCCCACATCCTCTTCATGTAACCCCTTCTGCTGGGGTTACTTGCAAAAACTCCTTATTCTCATCCCTTTTCCATTTATGCTTTCTTTTTCCAGTAGCCGACTTCTCAGTGTATCCTAGTTCCTCAACAACTGTGACATCCGGTATAGCTTCAGTTATGTATCCCTTGCACGTTACTGACATCTGAACAGAATTTCATGTGAAAAGTGCCTTTCGAAATTTATTTACTCCTTTATTTCCCCATAAATTTAGCCACATTAGTAGTGAAATGCATTTGTGGGTTTAGGAGCAGAGTTGACTTGGTTGCACCCATGAAAAACTTACTCAATCTTCTCTGCCAATGCCAAACAGCTTTTTCTGCTACTGCTACTGTTCACTTGATGTAGCGCAGCTAGAAACTGGCAAAGTAAACTAGTGACTGAGTAAATTATTAACAAATAAATTGTTCTTTGACCATTTTTCTTTCTTCTTTTTCCATGTTTTTAATCTAGGAACGGAGACCTGGTCTAACAGCACTGTGTGCAGATCCATTTACCACCCCCATCATAATGGCAGCAGTGTAAGTGATATAAACACAATGAACCACTTACACATTATAGAAAATCTTGTTGTTTTCATGCTAAACCTAAAGACTCTGGGAGTACTTCATTCATTTAGTATTTATGTGTAAACCAACAGTCAAAGTGCATCTATAAATTCATCAATATATACGACACTCGGGTTTTTGCAGTCTTTAGCAGTAGAGCCACTGTGCCTCTTATTAGTGGTAGTTTAGCTAACAGCTCTGACATCAGGGAAACACTGGTTTTCTTTTCCACAAAGAGAATCAACTTAAACTCTGTCACCATGGTAGCTGACTCAGACCTAACCCCCTTCTTGGCAGATTTTCTTCAACAAACTCTGAGTTTCTCTTTTAACGCTTACCTTCCTGCTGCACCTGAACCAGCTGACTGGCTCTCCCATTCATTAAAATGTTATCAAAGAGGAGAGAATTAATTTGAAAAATTTAAAAGATTTTATAAAGATTAAAATCCCAGTTTACTATTCTTTTGTACTTTTTTTGTGAGCCACATTATTGTGATGATTGTGATGTCACAATGGCAGCATGACCTACTAATTAACAAGTAACAGGTAATTTATGTACAAAGAGGCAGCCAGATCAACTTAGTAAAAAACAGCATTCTGTCGAGAGAATGTGAATTGGTGGCTCAAAAACCCTGAGGAGAGAGCCTGAGGGAGAATGCTGCTAACCAAAATATTCCAGGGTGATCTCAGGTTTCACATTAGTGTTTCACTGTGAAAACAGAGGCAATTCTGATAAATGAGAGGAGGCTAATGGAGAATCAATATGCTTTTGATATAATAAATAACTCTTTTTTTTTTTTTTTTTTTTTTTTTTGCCTGTCCCGTTTGGTTCTTTTGCCATCAGAATTATTGTCTAAATAACTCTTCTGATAGAAATCACAGAGCACTATATAGTTCTGAGAATTACGACTAAGATTTATCCAGAGGAGAGCTAATGTATTAGATACTGAAATCTGTGTGGACCAGCTTATCTATACACCATGCAGAAGAACACAAAACATTATTTACTATAAGATCACAAGATGTTCCAATTATTATGTTACTGTAGCATGTGAATCTGTGTGTGCATTTATTTTAAATGGCACAAGTTGCTCACTGTGTGCGCACTGATAAGAAAAAGAAGCTCACTTAAATTCATTTCTGCTCTGTTTCATGGAAACAGTAATACCTAGGAGCAATTAGCGGAGTTTGCCTCTAAACCCTCAGTGCGATGACTGTGAAGAGTTTTTAGGACAGAGGTTTAGGTGCTGCAATAACAGTTTTGAGCATCCATGCAAAGTCCCAATTGAACACTCGTTCTAAAAAACATCTTTCCCTCCAATAAAACCCTTTCTTAGTAGAAACTATTACAATCGCAGCACACAGAAGGTGGGATTTTTTGCAGCATTAGATCTTATGCAATTTGCAGTTAACTGTCTTCCACCTATTTTGTAAATTCACATTTGTGTGACTCATTTAAATATTCTTCTCCTGAAGTTGAATATCTTACAAATTCACGTGTGAAAAGGCAAGCTGCAAAAATACTCTTCCTCTGTTCACAACAGTTACAAAACTAACTTTGTACCTCTTTTGTAAATCCACCAATTTTTTAATGTCAAAACAAGGCTTTCTGCTGCTGCAGACATTAGTAACTCTGGCCCTAAATGTTCCTTCTTTAAAATTCCAGCCTTTTTAATGACATAACACAGTCTGTTCTCATTTATAAAACAACAGTGTTAGAAAACATTGTGGTGAAGTAAGATACATGTTTTGTAATCCATCTTCTGCACATTGTAGTTTCAACACTCTTTCAATTCTCTCCTTATCAGTTCCACTAATGACTTTTCCAGGCAAGGTGGTTATGAATAGGAGATAGGACTTTTGGAACCACCAAGTATGAACATATTTAGATATGATTGAAAAAAGAAAAAAAAGCATTTAGAGATTAAGCTCTTGACCCTTAAACCGGAATTCAATTTTATGAGAATGAGATAAAGGAGGATAAATCTGACTAATGTTTTGTTGGTCTTACTCAACACAATCTACACAGACATTTGTTCAAACCTGCATCACATTTAACACATACAGAAGTATTTAGCAATATTTTTCAGGATGTAGATTAAATGTTGTCAGCCAGACACGTGTAAACTAAACCCCATACTTTTTCTAGACCTAACCATATAGTTTTCGACTTAAACATGAAAATACAAGTAAATATAAATCAGTGTTTGGCAATTTTATGTAAACGTCATGGCTGCGTGAGGATTATCAGTGATCACCCAAACGCAGGTACTGGCCTAGATACCAAGAGAGAGCTTTATTTATGAAAATGTATATAGAAACTAAGGAATAACCTAAACTAGAAAAATCTAACAAAAGAGTTTGAAACCTAAACTCACAGGAACACATGCAGGGAGAAACGTACAGAGGTTACACAGAGAGACAACACAGAGAGACTCGGGGACAAAACACAGACTGAGTCCAAAAACAAAACATCCACAAAAAACACTGGAGCTCAGGGAGCAGTCCATAAATATTTCAGAAGGCCGGCAGCACCACAGCCCAACACAGGGTAACTCAGGGGGCCAACCACGCGGAAGGCAGTGTCGGCACTGGCAAAATAAATGTGGAGGCTGGTCGCATGGAAGGCAGCAGCGGCGACACAGTTCAGGAGGCTGGCCTCATGGAATATGGCAGTGATGGAGAAGATCCGAAGTCTGTGTGCGCCAGCGAAGAGGTCCAGTCAGCGGCCTGGACAAGGTTAAGCAGGCTTAGCCGGATGTGAACGAGGCTGTGGTTTGGCAACTGCTGGACCAGATGTGGCAGGTCCGGACAAGGCAGGACCAGACGGCGGCGTGGCAGCCGCAGACGATGGAGCAGGTGGTGGCATTGCAGTTTCCAGTCAGAGTGGGAAACGCATACTGCCGCGATCTGACAACAGGATGTTGGACTGCAAGCACTGTGGCCTGAAGCACATGCCCAAAAAGTGTCCAGCCTATGGTAAAATATGTCGACCAATCAAAAAATGATAAGAAGAAGCAAGAAGTAACTAGTAACTATAATTAATTACTTTTTCAAAGTAACTTACCCAGCACTGGTATTGATCAGTGGCTGTTATTGTAAGTTAACATAGTTTCATGCCATACCACAAGGTGGCACTATCGCTGTTAACATGGGCATGACAGCTAAGAAGTGGTGAGATACTCATGTTCTTCCGGCTAGCTAAGAATGCATAATAAAAGTATGTTGCAGATAATGTAGGGGCTCTTTCTTCATAAATAAGGAGACAAACAAAACACCAGAGACAGAGCTAAGGGCTGCTGAACAGGCTGGGCAGCTGACTGAGCTACAGACTGGAGGGGTGGTTGTCGTGAAAGAGGGACTGGAACTCTGACAGCAAGAGGAGCAGGCTCAAAAAAACATTTCTTCTAGTTTAGTTCTCTGCTTAGAGTGAACAGATGAAGTAGAAAAACCACTGTTAATGTTATCCTCTGCCACAAAAGGCACAGCCCCAGAATAAAAAGTCCCAAAGTCTGAAAAACACAGAGAGACGGTGCGTAGTACAAGTGTTTGGTCTGGAGGAGGGGAGACTTCATCAGAAAGAAACTCACCACAGCCTGCTGCTCTGAAGTCCCAAAAGCTGGCTGTGGAGGGTTAGGGTGCTTGTTGCCGTTTTCTCCTTGGAGGTGGCTGCGACGGTCCGGGTGGCTCCACGTCCGGCAGGCCGGGCCACAAATCCTCCGCCGCGCCAGGCAGGCGAGTTGTAGTGGCTGGTGTGTGAAGGTGAAGCTCGCTGAGGATAAAATCGTGTACGAGCAGGTGAAGCGAGCTCAGCAACCAGGGGAGACCGGAAACCAGTCATTGTAGATGGGTCTCTACAGTGCAATGAAACTCCCTCCCCGAATAATTTAGCCACAGATCGATTAATTTCTCCACAGAATAAACAATGTCTTGACGGAGCTCCTCGGACGGATCGAGTGCCGCTGGGTCCATGATGGCTGGTCCGTACTGTCACGGCTGTCGCAGCAGACGTGTGGAGATTAAGAGTGAGGACTCAAATGCCGGCACTGGCTTAGATGCGAAGAGTGAGCTTTATTTATATGAGGTGAAAATATAGATAGAAATGAAGAAATAACCTAAACTGGAAAACTCCAACAAAAAGAATCTTATTCACATAAGACATGGACCTTCAAAGTAAAACAGGAAACATAAGACAGGAATGCGAACACACACACAGGGAAGGCATACAAACAAAACCCAAGATGGAAATCAGGAGACAATAAAGAACTTAGGGAGCAAGAAATACAGAAACCAAACAACAGAAACACCAAGTCAAAGAATACAACACATAAACCAAAACCACTGGGTCACCCAGGTACCCTAACAGTAAATTCTTTTATGTAGGGGAATTTATTTCCATCATTGGAATGACAGTTTTTAAATGAAGGTTATGTGAATGGCTTTCTAGAAAACTTGATGTTTACATGAATCATTTGAAATATTTCTACATTACACACTCATACAAGAAGGGAAGTGTAGAAAGGGTTTAAAATAATGTTTAAATCAGCTTATCAACTTTTTCTACAGAAACCGTAACACCTCATCAAAGTATGAAGATATCATCAAAACAAGTGTTTGGATCCCTTCAGGATATCCTGTTGTCTACCAGCTGACAACAAAGATGGAGACCATTGGAAATGAAAGAAGAGTTACCTTTGGTAAAAAAAATGTGAACAAGATAAATAAAACCATCTTACTGGTGGGAGAAACAGGAGCAGGAAAATCTACTCTGATCAACGCTCTGCTCAACTACACCATGGGAGTGAAGTGGGAGGATGAAGTCTGGTTTCAGATTGTAGAGGAGAAGAAGGACAAAAAACAGACAGAAAGTCAGACATCAGATGTGATGGTGTACGAGATCTTTGGTTTTGAAGATGAAACTCTGCCCTACTCCCTGACCATCATCGATACTCCTGGATATGGAAACACCAGAGAAACTAAACAAGATGACATCATCAGTCAAAGATTATTGGACTTGTTTCGATCAGAGGATGGAGTCCATGAAGTTCATGCAGTGGGTCTGGTGATGAAGGCGACAGATAATCGACTGACTAACCGACTCAGGTACATCTTTGATTCAATGATGTCTCTGTTTGGAAAAGACCTAGAGAAAAACATTGTAGCTCTGATCACAAACTCAAATGGAAGAAAACCAACAATTCCTCTTAAAGCTATTGAAGAAACAAATATTAAATGTGCCAAAGATGAGAATAATAAGTCTGTTTACTTCCTGTTTGATAACTGCCAGCATGAAGACCGAACAGAGGAAGCAGAACACTTGGAACATGCTAATAAATTAACAATGACAGGAATCAGAGAGTTCACAGCCTTTCTGGAGGAAGTTGCACCTAGAAAAGTGATATTAACTTCAGATGTTCTGAAAGAACGAATCAGACTAAAAGCCTCCATCCAAAATCTGCAAGAGAGGGTCAAACTGACTGAATTGAAACAGACAGAAATCAAACAGACTCAAGAAGTTCTGAAAAAACACGAAGAAGAGAAATTCATTGTAGAGATTGATGAGGCCTATAAAGTTAAAGAACCTATCAATGGTGGGATGTGGTTGATTTTTTTTTATAATGGCGCTGTATGTTGTACAGTCTGTGAAGAGACCTGTCACTATCCTGGATGCAATGTGGCCTGGTATCCTTCACACTGTGAAGTGATTAAAAATGGCCGCTGCACTGTTTGCACCAACAAGTGTCTTGTGTCCACACATGTGAAAGAAAAGTGGAGATATGTGGTCAAGACAAGGAAAGTTAAGAAAACCATAGAAGAAATGACAAAGAAGTATGAAACGAATAAGACTGAAAATCAGAAGAAATCAAGCCTTTTGAAAAATCTTGAAAATGAAATGAACAAACTGACAGCAGAGAAGTCACGGTTCCTGGATGAGTCCTACCAACATGTTGTCAGACTGGTGCAGATCGCTCTGAAGGCTGATTCAGCGTCCACTATTGTCCACTTGGACTTCCTGATTGAGAAGATGGAGGAGAAAGGAGACACAGAGAAGGTCCAGAAACTGGAGGAGATGAGAAGCAGAGTGGATGAAGGAACGAGAGGAGCAGCTCGACACATGACAGATAGATGACATGTGATATATGGGTTTTAACCTCACTCTTATGGTCATTATAATATTTATATAGAGTGGCAGCCTTTATTCTGTTTTCACGTGAGTTCTTATAAACAAAGTCATCAAGCGGAACTTCCCCCACAATAAAAAGAACAAAAAAAACTGGTTTACATGCAACTTGTTTCACAGTCCAGGTATAAGCATGAATGTAGTTGATTCTTGCCCATTATATCCTTAAAGTGATGGAGCCATATGGTAAATGGTAATGGCCTGCATTTGTATAGCGCTTTTCTAGTCCATAGGACCCCAAAGCGCTTTACACTACATTCAGTCATCCACACATTCACACACTGGCGATAGCAAGCTACATTGTCAGTGCCTCTGTCAGCCTTCTGATTAGTGGCTGATCCGCTCTGCCACCTGAGCTACAGCCACCCATGTACAGAATGCCATCTATATGAACTGTTATTTGTTGTTTTCAACTTTTAAAGTTAATCTGGACGTTTAAATTTTTCTTATTTTGCATCTGAGGATCCTTCCATTATGTTAACTTTTATTACAAGTACGGTCAGAAGTATTTCATACACGTTGCATATCTGTGCTTATTTTGAGTTGATGTTCGGTTCATTAAGGGTCTTAAGCTTCACTGGCGTCACTGTCCAGGTGATACATGCTGAGGGAAACTAGAACATAGAAGGATGATTGCATACATGCTTACAGTACATATAATACATATAATCTAGGAATAGGCCTGAGCAGAGGCCCAAATGTTTCCAGCTACTTGTTGCAAACCTGTTGCATTTTATTCTACTTGACAACAGATGAGCAGAGTCAATAATTAGCCTCAGAGACCCTGGGGGCTTAAGATTATTACTAAACCGTGATTTTGTTTGTGAGGGTGTCTCATGACAATGACGTAGGCGTGTGCAACATTCGTGGCAACAGCTGTGAGCAGATCAACAATGGATAATATATCGAGTGCGGAGAGAGTATGAGCTCCCAAGCATAAGAATCCTAACGTCTTCAGATTCTCATGTTTTTTAAAGTACATGGTTAAAATGAACTTGTCTGGAATTTCTGAGCCATTTTGTGAGAGGATTACAAAGCACAATTTTCTACAGTAGATACACACAGAATACCATCAATGTGATGACCAGTGCTCTGCTGAGTGCATTATTAGTTGTTTTGTGCTTAAAAACATATCTGCAGCAGGTGTACAGCCTGAACAGTGGTCTATGCATAGCTTAATGAGTTACAAATACAAAACACTGGCAGTGCAGACTAAAAGTTTTACAGTCAAACCGCCAACCTTCCGATGACAAGACGAACTGCCAACTCTTGAGCCACGATCACTTGCTGTCATGGTCCTGTCTTTGACCCACAGCTTTAAGTGTTGAACAATTAACTTAAATATTTTAAACTTGTTTTTCTGTTTGAGTTTAGCATTTATATTTTGATTCCTTATGATTGAGTCTAGCCTTCCCACTTTTAAATTTGTCTGTGAAGCCCTTATCTCTGTTAGTGATTCTCTGATACTTACTGTTTATTTTTGCAGTCACTTACCACCCTTTTATCATCCCTTTATTTTTTTTTTATAGTTTATTATTTTAGCTATGTCTTTTTAGCCTTTTGTACATTCTACCTAATTACCTTCTGTATATTTTTCAAACCTTAGTTTGCCCTAGGTCCTTGTAAGGTCATGTGTTCTATCTTTCTTTGCACCTGTTTTTTTCTCTTGTGTTTTTAGATTTTGTTATTTTAATTAATAATATTTTAATTAATTAATTCAGATCTACACCACCCAAAATAAAGGGTTGCTTTCTGTTTACTTCTGTGTGCCTATGCGTCGGTATTTTGTTCCTTTCTACATGTTTTTTATGATGCCTTTTGCTGAGTAGGTGAGGGTGGAGAAACTAGTCACGTCAGATGTTAGCACCAGCTAGCACTAGCTCAGAGATGAAACTGACAGCATTTGAATATGGCATATTTATTTGGAAAACCTTCAGATCATTTAATGCTAGGTCTCCACTCTCGAAGGTGTTGGCTAGAGCATGTACTAATTGCACTCACTAAAGTGGCCCTCAGTCCAATATACAGAAAGGGGCACCACCATGTGGCATCAGTCAGAACTGCAGCATATTCACATTTTATTAGTCCTTTATTTATCCAGGTAAAAAAAATCTCATTGAGATTAAAAATCTAATTTCCAAGAGAGATCTGGCATCATGGCAACAAAAGTCCAAATATACATACCACATAAGGATATAACATTTAAAACAAATAAACATGTGTAAAATATACAATAACAGATCAAATACAAAAAGAGTACATTAAAAACAATCACACTGAGTAAAAGAGCTGTTCTCTCATTCCTTTAAGACAGACTTAAACTCTCCCAAGGTAACCAATTCTGATGATTTCAGTTCCTTCTGCAGGTTATTCCAGGAAGCAGGGGCAGCGTATTTAAAAGCCTTTTTCCCCAAATCTGTTCTGACTTTTGGGACAATCAATTACATGGTGAGAATGAAGGCTGTATTGGTTGTGGTTTTTACACATATAAACACATGAATAAGATGGAACCAGCCCAAGGAGAGATTTATAGATAAAGATCAACCTATGGGAGAGTCTGCGAATATGCAAAGATGGACATTTAGCAGCAGCATACAAAGAACAATGATGTACACGACTTCCATAGCCAGTAATAAAACGTAAAGCACAATGGTACACAGTATCCAACCTCTTTAGGTAGTGGGCAGGTGTATCCATAAAAAGCAGGTCACCATAATCCAATGAAGGTAAATAAGTTGCATGATCCACAGCTTGTTAAAACTTGCATTAAATCTGTTATGTATTTCCAAGTAATGGATGATTCACTTCAAGGGACAAGGACTTTGCTTTTAGATGTGGCATGCAATTCAGTTTTGTTTTATATAATGATGCTGTGTTGGTCATAAAGCATAAATGTTTGAGAAATATTATTAAGTGTAGTTCAAAACATCCACATCACCCTAATTTCGTCAGGTGGCTTACTTGCTGCTTCTTCACAGCTTGCCTTTATCAACGCAAGTTATTGAACACACGGCATTATTGAGATGTGTCAAAGCAAAAGTGGAAGTTGGTGATTTAAAGGTTTAAGTGACTAATAAAGCCTCACTTTGCCCGTCACTGGTTTAATATCTATCTTGATCATGGTGTTGCTCGTCCAGATGAGTCCAGGAAACTTCAACCTGCGCAGTGCTGAGAACAGCTGTAATTGGCTCATGCAGGGTCTGTGACTGATTTAGGGAGTTTAATCTACCTTTGAATTTTAAATAGCACTCAGTCATTTAATTGTCGGAAACAAAAGTCATCAACATGTGCAGCCCTATCCAGAATATATTAATCAGAATCAGAATCAATTAATCATAACTGACTCATGATTGTAATGGAATGTCTACACATTTAATTTAAGTCTACGCAGTAAGACAAGAGGGGAGAGTTAAATTTAAACATAAAATACAAGAAACAAATAACTAACAAAATAACAAGACATAAGTAACCTAAACTGAAACAGGCAAATGCAATAATAGATGTCAGATAAGGGGAGAAAGCTTCATTCAGATTGTAGAAATGTGAAGCTGTGGAAACGTTGTTCTGTTTACATGCAAGTGCAATAAAAATATTTCTGTCACTAAAAACATGAATAACTGTGATTTTAATGTTGGAAATACATGCAACACTAAATTTGGAAACAATTAGTGTTGCAAATTTTTTTTTTAAATAAAATACTTTGAAATTGAATCATACTTATAGGTTCGCTTTCAGATGATGGTAATATATAGACTGAGAAAATATGAACTTTTTTTTTTTTACAGGAGCTCATCAAAATATGAAGATATCATCAAAACAAGTGTTTGGATCCCTTCAGGATATCCTGTTGTCTACCAGCTGACAACAAAGATGGAGACCATTGGAAATGAAAGAAGAGTTACCTTTGGTAAAAAAAATGTGAACAAGATAAATAAAACCATCTTACTGGTGGGAGAAACAGGAGCAGGAAAATCTACTCTGATCAACGCTCTGCTCAACTACACCATGGGAGTGAAGTGGGAGGATGGAGTCTGGTTTCAGATTGTAGAGGAGAAGAAGGACAAAAAACAGACAGAAAGTCAGACATCAGATGTGATGGTGTACGAGATCTTTGGTTTTGAAGATGAAACTCTGCCCTACTCCCTGACCATCATCGATACTCCTGGATTTGGAAACACCAGAGAAATTAAATATGATGACATCATCTTTCAAAGATTATTTGACTTGTTTCGATCAGAGGATGGAGTCCATGAAGTTCATGCAGTGGGTCTGGTGATGAAGGCGACAGATAATCGGATGAGTGATCAACTAATATATGTGTTTGATTCAGTGATGTCTCTGTTTGGAAAAGATCTGGAGGAAAAGATTGTAGCTCTGATCACACACTCAAATGGCAGAAGACCAAGAAGTGCCCTCCAAGCTCTTGAAGCTGCAAACATTAAATGTGCCAAAAATGAGGAGAATCAGCCTGTTTACTTCCTGTTTGATAACTGCCAGCAGGAAGACCGAAAAGAGGAAGAAAAATTCTTAAAAGGTGCTCATCAAAGATCAGATACAGGAATCAGAGAGTTCAAAGCCTTTCTGGACAAAACTTCAGCTCAAAAAGTGATTATAACTTCAGATGTTCTGAATGAACGAATCAGACTAACAGAATGCATCAAAAACCTGAAAGAGACAATCAAACTGATAGAACAGAAACAGACAGAAATTAAACAGACTGAAGAAGATCTGAAGACACATGAAGAAGAGATGAAGGCGAATAAAGAGTTTACTGTAGAAGTTGATGAGGAGTACAAAGATAAAGAACATTCTTGGAATTTTTTAAATATTTTTAACTCTGAAAAATATATCTGCTGTACTGTCTGTGAGAATAACTGTTTACAAAGCAACAAAAAACTTGAAGACTGTGAGGTCATAGAAGATGGCTGCTGTACTGTTTGTACCAACAAGTGTCCTGTATCAAAACATGTGAAAGAAAACTGGAGATATGTGACCAAGAAAAGGAGAGTTCAGAAGACTAATGAAGAAATGAAAGAGCGGTATGAGGAGAACAAAATAAAGTTTGACAATAAGTTCAAACATTTGGAAAATCTTAAAACAGAAATGAACCAGCTGACAGCAGAGAAGTCACGGTTCCTGGATGAGTCCTACCAACATGTTGTCAAACTGGAGGAAATCGCTCTGAAAGCTGATTCAGCGTCCACTATTGTCCACTTGGACTTCCTGATTGAGAAGATGAAGCAGAAAGGAGACACAGAGAAGGTCCAGAAACTGGAGGAGATGAGAAG